CGGGTAACTAGGTTCTCTTCACTATGTTTCATTGGTTCCGTCTGCGTTGATCCCCTTCCTCCCAGATAGTAACCTGGTCATTTAATATGATGCTGTCAGGTCTCCCTTACCAGACTTCAGTCTGTTCTGCTTCGCTTGCCAATGTGTCGTAGAAGTGTCTTTTATCTTAGCACGCACTCTTCTTCGCTTCTTTGTCCAGTGTAGTGCTTTATACGTTGTACTCAGTTCCTCTTTTCGTTGTTCATCCTCTCACTATACTGGTTCACCTTCTGCTTCACCATCACCATCTTCGTCTCCCTGCTCTATCAGCTTCCATGTATCAATGGAGATTCATTCCTTGTCTTGCTTCGTCTTCCTTCGTAACACGGTTGTGCAGGTTTCCTTCCACATCTCTTTCAAAGGGTTCCACTGTTCTTAGATGCAGGTTTCCTCGTGGATGTTGCCTAATATCTACCATGTTTTCTTGATGGTTGAGTGACGTGAAGACGTCCTTTGTATTTTCATGCTTTAGTATCTGTTGTGGGTGTTGAACTTGAACTGTGGCCGTCTATCAGCAGCTTCTTTGAAGGCTTTCAACTTGATTTTGAAGGTGGGTTGCTTGCACTAGACAGTGAGTGTTGTGAACCACCTACGTCTTCTCCCCTTCTTGATCTGATCTTGTGTCCAGTAGGCTGCGTCTCCACTTTCCTCACATTGAGATGAAGTCAATCTGATTTTTAATGTAGTGCGTCTGGTGTCTGGTGAAATCAAATCATGTCGCTTTGCGAATATCCTAGTGTTTGTACACACTGCCTTGCCTCCAATCACTAAATCGTTGAATTCACAGAAGTCTGCAAACAGTTCTACATTCTCGTTTATTTCACTGAGAGCTTCTCAACCCATGATAAATTCTCTTCCTGTGTTGTCCGCTCCCAGTTTGTCATTCATGTCACCTATTAGAATTTTGATGTCGCCAACTGGATTGGGGTCATGTTCAGTACTGATTGCAGTTGTGTGTAGAATTCCCCCTTCTTCTCTTCATCTGCATTATTTGTAGGTGCATAGCGTAGCATTGTATGATTGTGGCTTTCCTTCCTTTTGAGTTGAATCTTGCTGTCATGATCCTGACCGTGCATGAGGAGGAGATTTGTTCGCACTCAGTGTGCTCGTGGTTGTCGTCTGGGTGACAATATCGGAGTAGATTATCGACTCTCCTCCCCTCCAGTTGACAGTTTGGAGAGTCCACTTCCATTTTATCTACTTTCTCAGGTTCCAACCACTTCTATGCCATACCTTCTCATCTCTTTGGCAATCTGGTCGGCCTTGCCAGCTAGGTTAATGTTTACTTTCGCGTTCATAAAGAGAGGAGACATCGGCCGACTGGCTTTCCGAAAGCTTTCACCAACTGGTATCATTTCGTCTCCCTGGTTCGAGCAAGGAATAATTTTTTTAGAATATTTTATAATGTGCTTTGAAGTTTGTTTAGCGATTGTATTAGTTTTCCGGGGTAGGGTTGTTATCCCTATGCCTAACCTTCCCTCTTTATCTGGGCTCAGGACCGACTGGTATCTAGTTAACCAGGGCATGTTACAATGTCTTACATTTTGCTGGTAATATAAGTCATCGTCCAAAAACGGATTGACGTAAGAAAATTCGTTGTATCTAATGTTATCGAAATACTGAACCAAACGTAATTCAAGACTAACTGTCAGTTCTTCAGAAATCATAGATCAGCACTGGCCACAACTGAACCATACTATGGATTTGGCGAGGAAACTTGCTAAAGGCTCTGGAGAACGTCCCTCCAATAAAGGTAGAGTTTCTGAGGATGACTTACAACTTGTTGATTCTCTCCTCGGTATTGCGGCATGCAGAGAGTGCAATTATGTTGGTAGCGCGAGAAGTCAAGTAGAATTTGCGTAAAGACCGTGAGGCTTATTGTATAAAATGAGCGAGCGAGATGGAAGCAGCACCTACATCTGATAGTCAGGTGTTCCAACTCACCGGCAGCAAGAAGCCTTTTACTAATGAGACGGTCTGTGAAGTAGATGGTATGCTGATCAACAGCTTTCATAGACGCCTGGGACGCTGAACGGAACACTTCGGAAAGAAATTTAGCTGGCTAACTCTTCAGGTAACATTGACTCTACTACCTTCTGTTCCGTGGCCAGTAAATGCCAACCCAACTGAAGAAGTAGAGATCTGTGGGGAACTTCAAGTACTTAATCGCAACCAGCCCAGACAATTTATTCCACGTTTTTTAAAGAGATGAAGGTAAAACCTTAGCCATAAGCTAACTATATTGTTTGAGACTACAGAAGACTGAGCGTCTTGTATGACTATGAAATGATGTCTTTGTTCCATCTTTAAAAAGCATTGCATTATGTGACAATGTACGCAATAATCACCTTGATATTAGTCTGCTAGTCTAAGAGTTTTACGTATTGAGTGGTCATACTTCGCAGGTCTTGCGAAACGTGGCGTTTCAGTCAGGTTGTTGATTTTTCGATCACATCTTCACATTTCGTTAGATGCGCAAACAGAGTCACAGATATTGCAGGTAAGAGATCTTTGAATTCCTGTATGGTTGAACTACCTCTTGTTTGTTGGACAAACCTTGTGCTCTGGAATTACATATTAACGCAAGCATTCCTGAGACATACTTGCGCACTTCAGGTAAAATAAAGGCTTATAACCCCCAATCTTCACTGTTCGAATGTAATGAAGGCGTTTGGTACAGTTGCCTAATTTCCCTTTAAATTTCCTACCGGCGACATTCCTAAAATATGTCTGCAGAAAGTGTAAGGTGATCGTGCAGATCAACTATTACATAGAAAACTTCCAACCTGGATTATGAGGATTATATACTTTTACTGTGCGACAATATGCAGGTTACTGAAACATACTCAATTAGTTGGCGAACATTTTTCAGTATGGTAAGTGTTGTGTAACACTGAAGTGCTTCTACGAAATTTGTAGGAGCGTGTAGCTCTCTACTCATACTCGGATGTCCATCGCTTGACGTCTTCGAAACGTTTGTGCACATCGGTAATTGTGTGTGCTGGTAATTCCCAATTGCAGATCAAAGCCAGAGTAGCATACGCTAATCTGAGTCACTTTTTATGCTATCGTGATATTGAGATTACATGTATACAAAGTGCCGGTGCAAGCAGTTCACCTTTGTGTCTATGAAACGTGGCCATTCTGAGCTGTCGATGTTTGACGACTTGGCTATTTCTACCAATGTTGTCTCACCAAGACTGTTCACATCTCATGGAAAAAACATGTTAGTAATTCTGAGGTGAGAAGTGATGGAGATTATCATTCATTAGGTTTGGACATCTCAAAAATTGGCTTCGTCAGCTCGGACATGCGTTATGCATATCATCGCTATGCTCACTGTTCGCTTACCTTGAGAATCGTTTGAAGAAGCATAGAGATGATCAGTGTATGAGGCGGCGCAGTATGATGAAGCTTATTTGTGTTTTGTTAGCATCTGTAGAGCTCCAACGACTTTCTGTATGGATTCCGAAATAAAATGTAACTCATTGAGTTGAAACAATAGCAGACATGACTCAGAATCAAAACCAGTACTGATCATTCTGGTTCTTCACTTCTTCTATTGCTGAGAAGCAAAACGAAAGTATCGGTGCACCCTTGTATATATGGTTAGACTGCTGCTCTAATAACTCGTAGATGGTTCTGTCTACATCCTATTTTCAAAATTTTCCATCTTCTTAGTGTTGCTTTATTATTTTGTATGGCGCAGTTCTTGGTACTCATGCTGTATTAAGTTTGTGTTCTAAAGGATGATAAATAATACTAAGGTTACTATGCTTATGTGTGATGACAAACGAGTCAGAATCCTCCTGATCATCCTTCAATTCATCGACACAGTGTGTGCAAACAAAATTGTCTCGGTAGACAATGACGCCCGAAATACATGGTCTCTGTTTTTAGCAAAACAGTAGGGACGTTTAGGGTGTTTATCATATACGAAACTGATACACCAACAGCGGTCTATATTGACAACTACTTTAAAGAGAGAAGTGAATCAATGTTTCGTCCGATTCACTAGTTGGATGAGCTGCACTAGTCGCAATGTCCTAGATGATGATGATAAATCAAATTGGATAAAGAAGAATTGGCTGACATTCATACCCTAAAAGTATCATTCAGATATCCAACTAAACACCAAAAGGCAAATATACTACACAGTATCTTCCTACGCTGTAATACTTACAGCTGTCGAAGGTACAAGACATAGATATCTGATACAAGAGGTCTTCGATGCACTATTTGCATGTAACGAGACTATAGAGAGGAAAAATGTCAAAGATTTCTGCAGAGTTGTGGGCAGCAAAATAAAGTTGGTCAACCAGGCTGTGGAGAAATATCGAATAATGTATATGGAGCTTGTGTTGTCACTGCATAGTCTTGTTTACGCCGATGGTTATATTAGGAGTACATACTCGAAAACGAATAAGAGCGACCACACCCGGAAATGATATCATGGAGGCCTTAGATGTTAATAAGAACTATGTAGGTTAGTAATGCCTTCACAGCTCTAAATTTTGACATGATAGTGTTAACTTGGAAAAGTGTAGTCCAATGTAACATTTTGCAATGTTCTCTCAGCTAAATGCCTTCCAATTATGCTAACCAATGGAAAAGTTTCTGAACGAGGTTACAATGTACATATAGCCCAATTGGTTTGATACTTTCCTACTTTCATTCAAGAAATCAAGGTTGGAACTGTGGTTTTCAGAGGTGCAATAAATATTTATATTTTATGAAAAACACCTTTAAATCGACCAGGTACCAAAAGCATTCTCCGTTTATGATGTTTCAGAGAAATAAACTTCACGAGCAAAAATGACTATAACAAGATTAGTTATATTCCTTGTTTAGTAAATGTATGAGGGTATGTACACAGATATGAAGTCTACAATGATGGAGATAGATACAATCACTGATAGTTTGGCTGAATAATCAACTTGACAGCTTTTTTATCACTGTCGTCAATCACAATTTAGTATATGACTGTGTTCATTCCAGAATTCATCTTTTATTATATCTACATTAGCTTGTTCAATGATACAGTGTTTTCCAGCCTAAAAACAAACAGTGAAGCAACAAAATAAAGAAATTAAATATTCAACACAGTTTTTAGCGTATTTAATCTACTGATTGGTTCAGATTGAAAACAACGCAAATTATCATTCGGATTCAATGAATTCAGTAAACGTGATAAAGTGGCACAAAAATATAAGATGTAAGAAAAATTGGGTATTCTGTAATCAGTTTACGACCCGAATGACTGAGAACAATGATAAGATATCCTTCGAACAAAAACGCTGAAATGAGATAAAAACAATGTCCTCATATATTAGCACTGACCGTAGAACAGTGAGAATTACACAGCAGTGAACAGTTGTTTTGCCTCGGTCTATAACTTTACCACAGTGGGCACAAACTAGATTTCATAAGGACACTCGAGTCTTACTCCGAATACATCCTTGTTCGTTTAGTATTTAGTCAACCGATATGAATTGGATAAAGTGGAAATTAAAACATTTAGTTATTGATCGTTAACGCTGACGTTTTTAAGCTTGGAAAACTTGATAACAACTGTTTTGTAATTAAAATACATTTTCACAAAATAAGATTATCACATGGCATAGAATAGGCCCGAAATAGAATCGATTATAAATCGCAAAAGCATTATACGAAGATAACTTAGAAAAAGTTCTCTATAATTTGTCTCCTACAAATTTTTGAAAATTCTAACAAATTATTCATAAAAATATTCATGACATGCCTCAAAATCGATCATAAATGTGTAAAGTAATTCACTAATCAAAAAATCCGAAAATGTGCAATTTACTAAAGTTTGTTCATTGATCTTCCCTACTCCAATGAGATTCTGTTGTCATTCAGTCAGCACCAACTTGAGACCTAGTGTTACATCATGGTTCAAGTCGTCACACCTCATATCAGTACATTAAGTGACAATACATCGAGATGGATGATGACGAAAAGAGAAAAAAGCAGCCAGATATTACGAAAAGAAAGCGAAGAATGAGACGATTCTAAAATTTGGTGCGACGCTTTAGATGAAAATATATGGATGTATCTGCTCCACTGAGATCAATACCCAGACATATAGCCCAAGATATCCAACAACCGACTTCAGTTTCAACGCATACCTCGACCAACAAGTCTACATTTCCCAACCTAGCACAGATCAAAAGTCAGAGGCTTCATGGGACCAATGTCATGTTTTAGTCTGGCCACCACCTCTAACGTTTTTCCAACCTAAACCAACTTCAGCTAACATTGTGCAACTGGTTACAAGGTGACTGAGCATGCGTAACACATATCCCAGCCATCTGAGTCGATGAAGGTCCACAACCTCATAAACTGACTTTCCTCTTCTCCCGAAAGTGCCACACTTGACTTCCCCCTTACTGACGTGGTGGGACCATGATACATATCCTGTGCTACGAAGGCAACGGTGGTCAAATACCTGAAGCCTTTTCATTTCCTCTAGCCTAAATGGCCTTGTTTCACAGTCGTATAGTAGAAGAGAGCGGACTCCAGTTCAGTGCACTCTATCCTTAATAGGTGGTCAGATAACACGGTGGGGGTGCCATGAATGGTGTAAGTTGATGAAAGTTGATCGACCCTTTCGTATCCGTGCCGATATTTCATCCCTACAGAAGAACTCATATCTTATCAGTGTCTTCAATTAATTATCACTCCTTTCTCAGTCGATTCTGTTTTGTTGGCTGCTATACACTGAAGTAAGTTGAACCAAAGCACTTCCATGTCACGTTTCGACGTATATTTTTCTGTCTATCGCTTAGAACACTAAGTAAGACAGTTATGAGATATAACTCAAATCGCTTTTCTCGGTAAAAAAAAAACAAGTTGGGTATGCTTTGCATTTCTGGAATGGTTGCGAGTTGTTTGTTTAGTTACGGTACACATATGTATTGTAATTAACATTTCGGATGTTCTCAGCATTAAAGATATAATTTCCTAGCCTACAAAACAATTTCCAAACAGTCAAACACAAATCCAAACACCATTCTGTGCAGCCAGGTTCTGTAAGATAGCATTATCAGCTCTCGTACATCACACGTGGCTTATAGAATAGTGTTTACCCACCTACAAGTGGGTGCTGAGCTGCACTATTTGCTTTTCATACTTACTATTTATTACAGACAAGTAGATAACATCACTGTGATTCAAAATACACAAGTGAGTGAAGATATGCTTCATCTTGTCTCATCGTAAGAATTTTGGATGAAAATAAAAACCCACTCACACTCACTAGCACATACACATACGCAAAATCGAAATACATTGGGCATTCATATGTGCATTATTGAAGTAGGTGATGAGGCACAACCTTGTGTGAGGAATAATGATACTGTCTGGCTCCCCGAAAGTTGGTAGGTGGAGTGGGGTTCGAATCCGTAGTGCACTCATTCGTTGGAAGTCGAGCGACTAGACTAATGGGCCACAGCCTCGTCACCCAGATTTTGTGAATTTATTAGCCGACACAAACGAGGCCAAAAATGAACGACAAGAACTTCAATTAATATCCCTAAGACAGATAAGAAAAAGAACAACTTCATTTGCTTACTTTTGCGTTATTTGCACAATGCGCCTTCTGCGGATAATAGGCAGTTTTGAACTATACACATAAACATACATATACACATATAAACATACATATACACAAACATAGATTTTCACCAATTATACATCACTATCTGCACATATGAATAGCACTTCATGTACGCAGCTTACAAGATAAGTGCATGTTTTTAGGTAGCTCTCAAAATGGCCGAAGAAGTGAATTTAAGAGAAGATTATTGACTGAATCTCGTAATTCACCTGGTATAGCTCCGGGCCGGTAACCTGGAGGTCACCGTTGAGAATCTTACAGCAACTCAGGTTTCCATTCCACTTTTAACAGTCACCTAGTATTTTTATTGAATAAGTGACAAAAGAGCTGATATCTTATGGTCCTACAGAAATAAAATGACTCAGAATGTACATAAATAACCAGCGAAGTTGGATGTTGAATGTATACTATAACGTGCTATCTACAGCTTAATTTTTGAGCATAGTAACTTTTGCCGTTAGGAAGACATCCTAAGAATTACGTTGACATAGACAATTACTTAAGGTAATTTGTTCGGTAGTGGCTAGCAAAAGAATTTAGAACGCGAGTTTCATCATCCTTGGAACTCGCCAGCTGGATGTACCTGCACACCAGTGAGTGATGTCCCCACTGAGACTCGAACCTCGTAATCATCGCTTTAAACGCCAAGGCGTTATCCCACTATGCCACGGAGGAACGACAACCATTTCTTCTACAACGGGTAGTAGTTATTACTATTTATTGACATACTTGGAATTCTCCGTGGTTTTATTGGATTGAATCATTCGGCCAATAAAACAACGGAGAATTCCAAGTATGTCAGTAATTAGTAATAGACCATTACTGTTAGAAATATTGTTGAACACGGGTACGTCAGTAGTACTAAGCAACTGGCAACTCTAAGATGAAATATCTGTCAGAAGAAAATACAGTGTATGCGTTAAATAAGAGTACATGGATCCCCTCCATTTATCTTACCTTACTTCTGAACAGCACAGTACCTTTGCGGTATAATTCTGGTTCATTGTTGTAATTACAGTTGAATTGAGAAAATAACAACTCATTCTTATCACTGGATAAAGTACCCTATATGAAATACAAAACAAGTAAACAAGAGAAACTAAAGCAAAAAATTTGTTTTTGATACATCCCATAGATCATGTGTGCAACCACTGTTAGCACTGACGGATAACATTGCAGCATTTTCTTATTTAACTTCCATAAACTTTATATATATAATGTATTCATCCTCCAGAGTTACCTGCTAACTTGAAGAAACGTAGAAATCAGTAATCTATGTATGAAATCAAGGAAAACTGTACTGATCTTTTGTCTATCTAGGAATTGTGACCGTATGGATAAAAGCATAGAATAGGCGACCAATCGATCCAACACGTAACACTATACCCCAAGTAGTGACTAAAAATCGACAAGTGCGAGTTGCATTTTTCTTTGTGGTCAGTCCCTACTTCACCTTGAAATCGAGTGGAATGCAGGTCACTATCAACTGGGATCCCACCGAGCAGTGTACTTTCTGCCTGGGCACTTACTGCTAAGCCTACACCTGAAAGACAACGAGAACTAACCATCCAATCTCTAAAAACCCGTAGAGTGAATTCAGCAAATTTACCGAATTAATCAGGATGAGATTAAGTGGTAACCACACCACAGCACAAGTTTGCTTTCCGATCAGAAGACTCTACCCATCTTAGCTTAGTAATTTACACTATAATGGTAACTGCTTTTTGTTTTACCACTTTACAACTCACCTTTCTGGTGTGGTAGGACCTTAGCGAGTAATTGTTTCAACCGGAAAAGCTTGTTGGGTCATTGTGATAAGCGAGGTCAACAACCAAGTCAAGGTAGCAGATATCTTTTTGTATTCTGTTTATATCCTTTTCAACTTATGATCTTTTACAACTGTAGATCTACAAGTTATTTTGTTTGTTCGCCTTTTTCGTTCATGACTTCTATGTCTTTCAGCTAATGTCATACACTATGATGACAAGTCCTACGTTTTTTCGTATCAATCTGTTGCTTTCTAGTGGACTTCAGTTTTGCATACAGGTAGTAACTGAAAACAAAGGTAACACATAACAGTCACTTCGACATCATTTGCACTGTGATTCTCTTGAAAGTCACCTCTCAGTTTCGCATGATCAATTTGCAACCGATTTACAAATTGTACGGTTCATGTTGACATTTTTCAAAGCCGAGTAGTTTTTTTCACCTGCGGTAAATTTGCTGAATTCACTCTACGGGTTTTTAGAGATTGGATGGTTAGTTCTCGTTGTCTTTCAGGTGTAGGCTTAGCATTAAGTGCCCAGGCAGAAAGTACACTGCTCGGTGGGATCCCAGTTGATAGTGACCTGCATTCCACTCGATTTCAAGGTGAAGTAGGGACTGACCACAAAGAAAAATGCAACTCGCACTTGTCAATTTGTAATCACTTCTTAGGCACTCACTAATTAAATTTCAAATGAAGTGAGGGATTAGATTTACAAAAAACTATATATATATTCTCCTACTCAATGGTAAACGGTCAGGTAAAGTTACTGTGGCAAACGATTTTTAAGCAAAAGTGTGTAGACTAAGTCAATCAATAAGGCACTTTTGGAGTCCCGATCAAACGAATAAATAACAAGGATATCCTGCTACAATAGTTCCCAAGTAACTACATTTTTCTCACTAGCGCAAATTTCAGACATAGAGATATTGTTTGACACAACGTCGATTGTCGTCAACACAACGACAGACACAGACTGACCATATCGCTAGAGAGAGTGACTAGAAGACTGTCACTCCTTCAGAAACATATGTTTGGACAGTGACCACTCTTGGGTTACAGCATGCATGTCTGCCCCTAAAAGGAAGTAGAAAAATTATAGGTGTAATACCACTACAAGTTAAGCTCAACATGAGAATACTGAAGCTGCCTTCAGTGAGGAACTGGTTAGACAGTTATTCCAACAGGATACAGTCACTCATCGTGTAGCAAACTGGCTTAATCTCCAGTCTGCAACAAAATCAGCGTTCAAGGCCGTCAGCAGCTTCTTCTCGATTAGTGGATGCACATGAGCGCTCTTTCAGTAGGGCTCCAAGCACACCATGGAGCATAAGCAACTTCAACGCAGACTGACAAAGAGTTTACGCAAAGACTATTAGAAGCGGAGGGCAATGAAGGCTGAAGATTTAACCCGGGAAATGGCTATATGTTACACTAGACAGTTATTTCCACTTGTTGAGGAAAATGGTGCAAAGACGTCAATGGTGAGATATCAGCATAGAAGAGTGGATCCGCTGTTCACCCGCAAGGCAGACAACTGCAAGTATCCGGTTGTACTCTACCCAGTTGTACCGTGGAAGAAGTCCTGAGATAAACTCTGTAACCCATGCTAAATTAAAAGTTTATGAAAAACATGAAGTGAGGAAAGGCAACAGAGCTCGATGGGTTAGTAACAGAGGTACTTGAAGGTGAGAGTTATTATTTATAAATGATGTTAGATAGCGTAAAGGAACCGGCTGGGATCCCCTCTGACTGGGATCAATCTCAAATTGTTCCAGTCTTCAAGAAGATGAATAAATTTTCTTGTGATAACCACAGATGAATCAAAATGACGAACAGAACGACCAGAATTCAAGGTTCTGTAGACACTAGACTCATAAAAGAAGCATTCGATGAGTTAAGTGTGTAGAGTGGTGGTTGCCAAGCCTATTCCCTCGCTCCAGTTTCATTTTATTTCGTCATAGATATGCTTCCTCTCCTCAACTGAGTTTACAGGGATTGAACCCTTCAAAGAAGACGTTTAAGTAGACGTGTTATATTCGGGTGACAAAGTCCTGAGGTATGAAAATACTGAAAAGAAGTAGAGTCAACTGAGCATTTTGAGTGACAACTTAGGATGTTTTCAGTACGTTTCTCACTGTCTAAATTCATATCTTTGCTCCAGGACTAGTCTGTTATGATGCTCCCGTTAACAATATGAGGTGAAGTGGTTGAGCGCATTGACTGCTTTACATACTTGAGAAGTCAGGTAGGGCCTTGTAGGTAAGCAACTGACGAAAACTCTATACACATACGAAAGGGTCGATCAACTTTCATCAACTTACACTATTCATGGCACCCCCACCGTGTTATCTGACCACCTATTAAGGATAGAGTGCACTGAACTGGAGTCCGCTCTCTTCTACTATACGACTGTGAAACAAGGCCATTTAGGCTAGAGGAAATGAAAAGGCTTCAGGTATTTGACCACCGTTGCCTTCGTAGCACAGGATATGTATCATGGTCCCACCACGTCAGTAAGGGGGAAGTCAAGTGTGGCACTTTCGGGAGAAGAGGAAAGTCAGTTTATGAGGTTGTGGACCTTCATCGACTCAGATGGCTGGGATATGTGTTACGCATGCTCAGTCACCTTGTAACCAGTTGCACAATGTTAGCTGAAGTTGGTTTAGGTTGGAAAAACGTTAGAGGTGGTGGCCAGACTAAAACATGACATTGGTCCCATGAAGCCTCTGACTTTTGATCTGTGCTAGGTTGGGAAATGTAGACTTGTTGGTCGAGGTATGCGTTGAAACTGAAGTCGGTTGTTGGACATCTTGGGCTATATGTCTGGGTATTGATCTCAGTGGAGCAGATACATCCATATATTTTCATCTAAAGCGTCGCACAAAATTTCGTTATTGTTTTGTTTTATCATTCTCTTTTTCGCTTATCTATCACGTTGACTGCTATCTGGCCTATTTCACTATTTTTCATTTTTGTATCTTCTACCTTGATGCAGGGTATGCTGATTTGGACTGCTTTACAGTAATGACAGGCCTCATGTTGATATTGACTGATAGCTAAGCTCATTCACTGAAGTGAGGCTTTTTATACATTAATTTAAGAAACAGTTCAACTTTTCGAACAGATAAATCGTACTAACACATTCACAGCAGTTCCAAAAAGGTAGAGCAACAAAGAAAAGCAAATATACACTGACAATCTTCTCCATGAATTCTCATCAAACTTTATCAAATAAATTCACAATATATTTAGTATACTGAGTGACACAATACTGTAGAGTACTGCATTGAGTTTCAGATGTTTGAATCTCATTTACGAGAAGCCTTAGACGTGATTTTCATGTATACATCATATGTAACCTTGCAAAAATGCGAATAATTTCGGTGATTAGAAACTGGGTCACTTAGTGACTTAGCCAGAAACTTCATACAAACTTACTCAGGTCCTGAGACCTGAAGTGAACATATCACTGAATAACTAATCCATGTACGCAATTCTGCCCAACAGTGAAATGAACAGCTAGGAGGTAATGTTCTTGACTTCAACATGGTGATAAACGTTCGAACTTACTTGGGAACATCAATCTACTCAAGGTTATGTATGTATTTCATTGATGAAGAGAAAACAGTACACAAATTTGGTCAAATGCTTCTTGGTGACTGACTATAAATATACCTAAAACCGTCGCAGAGATGAGATAGAGTGAGCATCCTCAGTTGTAATGATAAAAAAAGGTAGCAAATATGCCCTCACTAGCTCTTAACCCTACCCTATATGAAGTATAAGCCTAACGATTTTTTCTGAATCAACTAAAATTTGTTGGCAATTCATGTAAAAAAACACTTGGTATTATCAAGTTTAAAAGCAAGAGAAAAAAGCAGAAAATCTTACCCTTAAGCGTTCTTCAGCCTCTGCTCCAGTTAGATTAGCATTTTGAACAAGCTTCCAGAAACAAGTATTGTAAAGATTGTTCACATGGCCTAATAATAACCGTGTATTACGATTAGTATTTCTTGTAAAGAAGTAGTTTAAGGTCATGACCGTTCACAGTTATTAACTTTAATGATTACAACAAATGCATGGAGCAGAGAAACGTTGAAAGAGTTTAACAAAAACATAAAGGAACTGAAATTGAGTAATTTTGTGCGACAGGATGAATTAACAGTTTTAGAGTGTACAGTTTAGTTTTGGCTAGCAGTGAAATTCAGAACAAACTTTCCAGGAGATGCCTATACCAGTATCCCAATAAGTGATGGTGTTCCCAATGGACCTTGAACCTAAGGGACAGCACCTGCACGCATTGGGTTCAATCATCAGTTCGAAATCAACACAGTGTGTCCTGCTTTCTACAACAAGCCACCATCAAATATCTAACCAAGATTGGATCATAAACATTGTCAAAGTATTTTTACAGGGGATCTACACGTCGAAAGACGCTCGTCAACTAAATTTCTCAAATCAACAACAGAAAGGATTGAAAGCTTCAGTCACAAACTTTTACGAAATTGATGTGATAGCCTCTAGAGACACAAAAAGAATTCAAACAATAAAGTAAGTTGTGAGAAGGGTGAGAAATCAGGTCACCAGGGCACAGAATGATTGATTATTGCTTCCTTCTGTACACTGGTCCAGTTTTAGTTGTGTAATAACTACGACTTTAGCGCAAATGTGATAAGATTTCAACCATTCTACTTGTTGATTATCATGAAAAACTTCAAGATAACTACATTATTTTTTGCGTTGACTGGTTGCTATGTCACTACAATATTGAGAGCATTTTCTCCCTTAAAAAGTAAGCTTTTTGGTGAATGTCCAAAAAAATTGAAGGTGTCCAATTCTCTTCCAACGTAACTGTTGTCGTATATGTACAGTAAATAGCGCACACAATTAGAGGCGACATATTACCTCTCTATTTTAAACACTGTAAGAAGCAATAATGGTTTTCTTGAACTCTTTGTTAAAGAAGAAATTTAACTGAAACTTTTTAGCTTTATCCGGATGCCCACAGTCCGTATTACAGAATATCACTTCCTGTTACATATCTTCATTTAACTACATAATGTATTTTCAAAATCTTTTATTGTTCATATCTTTCACGTTGTAATTAGCTGACGAAGAACTAGGAAAATAAAATGAATTCATGTTAGAAATTATCGGATTCTTTAAAGTATACATAAATTTTCGATAAAATAACCATTATGCAGATGGGTAAGAGAAAGAGAGTGCTGAGCAACACTTATCTCTCGTAGATAACTGTATTTTAGGGACTACACGGTTATAAGCAATGTACCATCAGATATATCACATAAAACTGATTAGTGAGTAAGTGTTTGATAATCGATGAGTTATCTAATCCTGAAGTCTGAGAATAGTTTTGAACGCACAAACATTCATACTTTGTATATATATATATATATATATACTGTGACTAATAGTTGCGATAAACTCGACTAACGGTTATCACATACAATTAAAGCGTTTCAAGTTTGGTGCGCATCATGATGGGAAAAAGTACACCCGTTCGGCTTGTAAGACTGACAGATCATAACTTAGAAGGTCGGACATATGATCAGGTTATTTACATACTAAACATTATGTTTGAAGTAAGATTCAAACATAATTACCATAACGTATTTGAATAGCCCAAAACAAACTTGATATTCCCAGCCACTTCACAATTTCAATTTAATTGGAGTTTATGACCAGTTGTTCATAGTTCTTCTTACAACAAAAAATATGATAGTGCTAACGCAGGTGACATAACTGCAAACCAAGAGAGTGTGTTCTTGCTCATATATATATACTAATGCTATGATGTTTAGCTGGCAGTAGGATTGTGAGTAGTTATTGAGAAACATCACTGAGATTGAACTTGTGAAGTGATTGGTAATACCCGACATTTTCCTAGACTATTCAAATGAATTGAAGCGAATGTGTGTTCAAATTCTGATCAAAGTACACTTTACTGATTTTCCCTGATCTCGGATTTACCACTTATATCTTCATATTTGTTTCTACACAACCAACACATCACATGGAAGAGACACTTAAACGGTTTTAAAAGATAAAAATCACCAGGTTAGTGTGAATAGTCAGCATTGGGAAGTGGTATTCGTTTTGATTCGATACCTCCAGTTACAACCTACTGTAACTATCAGTCACCTAGTGGAAAAGTATAAAAAGCCTCTATCTACAAGATATTAAAAGTCTATAATTCCATTGAGGTTTCTGACCTATTGAATTATTTCAAGGTAATTTTCCGGACAGACTAACATCAGCTGGTAAGATGGTGAAAACTAACAAGGATTCAGCAGGCGTCTTCTCCTAGTTTGATACTCTTCAACAAAGGACTGATTTCACAACCTGATGAATACTATCTGTAGGCTGACCGAATCTCTATAAACCACTTCACTAAATAATACTCTACTGATCGTTTATAAATGGCCTTAAGATGGATTCCCCAAAGTTGGAATGAACAAGTGTGATCTATGAGGTCGACCAAAGCAGGTGAGAGCACAGACTCCCATCAATGCAATTGGATTACAGCTAAAAGGTACAGATCATTAGACCATCTAGATGCCAAAGTATTCGTCATCGCACTTGACTCTGAATACCGTCATGGATACACAGTACTGGGGAGTCAAACAAGCCACTCAATACCGAGTATCAGCAGTCCTTCGTTTCATAGTAATTCCCGATGAAATCCATTCTCCTGTGAAACATACATCTGCAAATATTCGCAATCTGTTTTTCTGAATACAGTTAAATAAACTGATTGTCTTTTCAAGTAGCTCTACGATGGTCTTGTATGTAAGGACACACCTTTGGATGACTTCACCAGTCATCCCCTGATATCTCTGGGTAGCGTCTTTTGAAAAGAGATCTACAGACTGCTCTTCATTATTTGACTACACATGATGATAGGATGTACATATTACTCTGAAAACACATAGCGGAATTAATACTTAAGATTGTTAGAGGCTCAGTTGACTCAATTTACTTGATGAATACTTTCCACTAAAAGATTCTCTACAGTCCACAGGATCCTTGATTATGAGTACACACCACAGTCTGTGCAAATGCAACAGGCTACATTTTCAAATTAAAACCCCCTTCCTTTATATTCCAGTAAATCATATATGCCGTAGTTCTAGATATCCCTGGAACTATCGTGTATTTCGAAGACACCGTATCATGGAGTGTTGAATGCAGCAGCAATGCGCGACAAAATAACCAATTTCCTTCGTTTAAATGATGAATACAGGTTCTCATTACGCACAGTTTAATGTCGAATCTACCTCTCTTTGATTGTATACTTGTAATATTTTTCTCATAGAAACATCCACCAGCATGATCTAAGAAACGCTAGTACCAAATGACGTATCTACTCTTCAAAGGAAACTTTAGCGAGACAGAAACTGTACATGGGTGAGAATACGTGTAACGAACATTTGAAATGGACACTAGACATTTCGAGTCATCACGTACAAAATAATAGTTAGTCAAATTTTAAAAAATCGATTTGGAGTTCGGCACAGCAAAGAGGAACAACACTCATTCCCCAACTGCTTTTGGAAATACTATCTGTTACGAAGACCGACAATGAACAAGTAAAATAAAATAAAATCCAAAGCGTTATTGCATTCAAGAAGGATGACTGGCAAGAAATGAGAAGTCTCTTTCCAGCAGTACGAACTATTTCAAGCCGCAAGGGGCTGGAAAGCATAACTACTTTACAGATAATCTATTCACCTATGATTAGATTTATTCAAACTGCACTCTTAGTACTACACAGTCAACTTACTACCAATGGGATTATTAAAATCACCCTAACAGCTACTTCTGAAAAAGTGTGACAGTGAAGTTCTACAATTACCGTGTAGTACCCATTATTAGATATTTACTTTATTGCCTTGACATAAATTGCATGTCTGCAACAGCAATCAAGTTTATATTATCGTCACAGCTGTGCCAGTGTGGTTCAGTTATAACAGTTTAGAAATATATAACCTTTCTTCAAAGTATGCATATGGTTAAGCATACTTAGAAAAAGATTTATGAGGTAAAACGTTGACTATATGAGAAAACACTTCCAGTCTGTCTGATTTCAAAACCATTTAAGTGGGTGAGGCTGAATTATATGTGAATAACCAAGTGGACGAGTGGGAAATTTGTAGGTTTGTCCAAAAAGTAGAAAAACTCTCAGTTAGTAATACACATGCATAACACAGTGGTTTCTGCCCTTGGAAGCAATCTATACTCTGGAATTAAATAGGTCCCAGCTCCTTCTCGTTCTTTACTAAGTGCGGAGTATATTTGGTTTGCCATAGTAATGTTTTTACTGTACGGCCGCTGTGAATTTAGACGTATAATTCAATTTAGAATCCTTCGAGGTTTCAGTATTTATCATTCACGAAAGAAACAGTTATCAATACCACGTGACCTTCAACTAACCAAAACAGTATCAGCTGAAATCAATGTTAGCAAAAAACCACAGTAATGTTGTGCAATGTGTAGTATAAGCATACAAATACTTTACATACAATGCACGTATATATATAGCTTTTTCGAAATGCACCGACTCATTTCGAGAGAATAAAGTGAGTCATAAGAACTAACTTATAGTAAACTGGCGTCCGTGTGCAGCTCCGATGACGACATCGCGAAGGAAATAGAAAACGGTAACCAACTAAAATCCTAACCTCGCCTAGATTTCTAGTTCACTAGTTACTAGTAGGTCCTGAGCCCAGGTAAAGAGGGAAGGTTAGGCATAGGGATAACAACCCTACCCCGGAAAACTAATACAATCGCTAAACAAACTTCAAAGCACATTATAAAATATTCTAAAAAAATTATTCCTTGCTCGAACCAGGGAGACGAAATGATACCAGTTGGTGAAAGCTTTCGGAAAGCCAGTCGGCCGATGTCTCCTCTCTTTATGAACGCGAAAGTAAACATTAACCTAGCTGGCAAGGCCGAC